CCCCGGTGCCTCGGCGGAGCGAGGGCTCCGCGCCTCCCCGCAGCGCGGTGAAACAGGGATGCAGGTGAAAGAGGGATGGAGCGGAGCAGGGCGCTCGGCGAGGGGAGGGATGCGGGTGGAGGCGGGAGGGATGCGGGGCGCCACGGGGAAGGAGAGGGATGCGGGTCCCTTCCCCGAGGAGGAGGAATGGAGGGATGCGGGCTGCCCTGGAGCCGAGGAACGGTGGGGGAGATGCGCGTTGCTCCCCAGAGGAAGGAAGGATGGAAGGACTCTGGAGAAGGAGAATGAGGGTTCCCCCCCACCCCCGGAGAAAGGAAGGATGGAGGGAAGCAGAGCCCCCGAAGCAAGGACGGAGGGATGCGCGTTCCCCGCGAAAGAAGAAAGGACGGAGGGATGCGGGGAGAGGAAAGCGAGGGATGCGGTTCCCTACTGGGGAAAGCTGCCCTTTCCCCCTGAACGAGCGGAGGGATGCGGGTCCCGCTCCCTGCGCGAGATGCGAGGTCCTTACTCAGGGCCGGGGTCCTGAGCCGCGAGCGGGAGTCGCTCCCTTCCTTCTTTCCTCCCTTCCATCCCTTTCATCATTTCCTCTGTGTTTTCTGTGTTTATTCGTCGCTATTCCTCCAGATCTCGGCTGAATCCAAAGCATCACAAGTTACTATTTATATTAACCGGCAGGTTTTTCTCGCAGTCATTTTGTTTAGAGAGCGTTAAACGCATTTGTGGGTGGGGAAATGTCCTTTTGGTCTTTTATGCATATTTTAAGTTGTGGGTGCAAATTATATTTGCTTTGATTATTACCAGTTTGAATGCATTAATTTGATAGTTATTAAAAATAATGTGGGCTTAATTCTCGGCACCTGCAGAATATCATTTGGTTTGCAAATGAAACAAATTGAAACTCGGCAGAAAATAGGCAGCCCTTGCGTGGTTATCCTGCAATTCTGCTCCAAATTGTGTTTGCGAGGGGCCTGATCCTGCGTGTCCCGGTGATGCTCAGGACTCTGTGCCCTGGGCTGCAGGAACAGGGCCGGGGCTGTAGCTGGATGAAGATATTATGGATCTGGCTACTAATATTTGCATCTCTTTTTATTCGTTTTCCTCCCTCGTTCTTTCCTTAAAAGCCACGTGCCCCCGAGCCCATGGAGAAGAGGAGGTTGGCTTTTTCCTGCTGATGCTGTAGACTCCAGGGGTTGGTTGTTATCTTTGGTTATCTAGCTGTATGAGTGGTGTCGATTCTTCATAAAGCTAGATAACCGAAAGTAAAAATAACCCCATTACACGCCTGAGGAGGATGTGGAGAAGAAAGGAAATTCATCAAAAGGAAGAGGAGGAAAAGAAAAAATTAAAAGGAAAAAAAAAAAAAGAGAGAAGAGAAAGGAAATGAGTGGCGGAAAAAATGGGGGAAAAGACAACTTTCAGAGACTGGAATTAAAACCCGAGGTAGGATTTTTTTTTGTTTGTTTTGTTTTCTTTTTTTTTTTTTTCTTTTGAGGGGGGTTGTTTGTTGGCTTTTGTTTTTGTTTTTTTTTTTAAAAAAGAACCTATTTTCCTCCTGTGATTTTAAGAGTTTACTGATTCTGGGCATGGGAAGAAACTGACTGTGTTGAGAAAGACAAAGATGTTACCGCTCTCTCCTCAGCCGTTAACTGTAATTGAATTAACAAAGTAAAACTTCCAATCAGATTATGAATTAGTTAAGTCCAGGACCCAGACTACAGATCAAGGATGAACTTTCATTGCATAACCAGTCGTAGAGCATCAGAGAATCCATAAATCAATACAGATTACTGTGTTGGATTATCTGTTTAATAAAGCAGCAACAGAGCAATGTTTATTAATGGTTGTTTTGCAAATACGAGTGCTGGATTCTTTTTCCTTTTTTCTGCCTTCCCTACCCCCTCTTCCCTATCTGTTATACAGATAAATATATTTTCCTCCTTGACAGCTATAACTTGATATCAGTATTAGAAAGAAGGATATGGTGATTTGGAAAATGGTTTCTTGCAGTTTTCTTTGTTTTTCTTCCCTTGTGTCTCTATCCAAATGCTTTCTTTCTTCTTTTAACCCTTTGTTTATGAACGTTTCTTTGAATGGGCTCAAGATTCTTATTTGGGGATTTAAAAAGGATATATATATATATATATATATATACACATATATATATGTATAAAACTTGTGTGTGGAACCGCATGGGACTAATTGGGGAACTTGATTTTGCTTAATTTATCTTCTCTGCAAATTGATGCTGGTTCTTATCCCTCTTTAATTGTTTATGCATCAACCTTTACCTTATGGAAACTGGGATTTTTTAAATCTGCTCTACCATAGAAGGGAATTTGGAGTCAAAGAGGTGAACTCGGTGCTTCCCACTTGCTTCTAATAATCAGACTGGGTGCCCGAGATGCCACCTACAAAACACAGGAACCTATTTGAAAAGGTTTCTTGATCTTGCTTAGAAGAGCACAAAGATCTCATGGTGGATTAAGATAAAATAATATCAAAACGGTGATTCCAAGGAGGGAAAAAAAACCCAAACCAAAAAAGACTTTATAATAATAAAGAGCTAATGTGGGTGATGGCACCTGAACTAATTTTGGAAAGGAGCAATTATAGCTTTGTGACTTTATGAAAACCCTCTTGTGAGAGATGTAGAAATGAGCTGACTTTTGACCTGTGCTGGACCCGCTCGTTTTGCTCGTGTGCTCTTTTAAAGATTATGGGATCTTTAAAAAAACCAAAAGGCCAAGAGGAACTGTCCCTGGCACTTTGTTCAGGGAAGGGCTGTAGTGCTGGGTGTGACATGAAAGATTTGTCCTGCTCATATGATTGCTCGAAATTAATAAACAAGATATTATTCCCCTCACCCATGGCCCTGTAATTCAGAATAATTTAGTACATGTGTTAACTGAGAGCTCTGTAATGATCTGCTTGGGGAAAGCTTAGGGGAAATCTTTCCATGTCCCCATTGAGGTTCACCTGGGTGTTGCCATTGTTCTTGGTGCTGCTCCCGCAGCCCATGCTGACAGTGACGGGGATGTAGGGAAGTTTTTACAAGCTCTTATTTGATTCCCTGTTCTCTGTTGCCATCCTGCTGCTCTCCTGGCCAGGAGGTTTGTCCCCAGTCAGAGGACAGGGCAACAGGGAATCAGCTCCAGGAGCTTTGGTCCATGGGCAGGGAAGGGGAGACATCTTCCACGGATGCTCACACCCTGAGCATCGGGCAGGATGAAGTTGGACACCCTTGGCTTTGGTGACAAAGCGGTGACAAAGCTCTCTGCATGGAGCTCTCCTTGCTCATCCTTCCCAGGCAGACCGAGCCAGGAGGACTCTTGCTGGCCCAGCTGGGTGTTTGCCATTCCAGCCAGGCTGGTGGAGCAGGCTGTGCCTGCAGGCAGGTGCCAGCACCGAGGGGTGGCCCAAAGTCGGGGTGTGAAGGGTGCGGTGGCTCCCCAGGGGGACCAAGGGCTCTTATTCGGGGTGAGCGCTGGGGAGCTGCCATGTGCCATCCACCATTGGCCAGTGGCTTCCCTCGAGGAGGGAGAAAAGTGCCTTTTCTCCAATCAGGGGCTGGGAGCAGAGCTATGTGAGCATCTTTTGGTGCTCCAGGGTGACCAATCCTGGTCTGTGCTCCACTGCCATAGGCTGATTTGGATGGTGTCACTTCTTGGCTATAACAAAGGCATGAGCAGGAGTGGGGGGATGTAAACTGGGACAAGGATGAAACTCGTCCAAGAATTTAGCAAACCATGTGTGGAGGGCCCGGAGCCAGGGGCAGGAGGTGCCTGTGTTGCTCGGTGATGGAGGAGGTGGGTTTAAAGCCCACCGGGCCCAAACTGGCTCTCTGGAGCTTTTGCACCTCATTCCCAGCTGCAAAAAGCTCCCTCTAAAATGCTGGTGACCCCCATGGCCATTCATGGTGGCACTGTGGGGCTAAAGCACCTCCGTGTTCTTCACCCATCCCTTTGTGTTCCCAGCACGGGAGGGAAATGGGAGCCAGTTCCAGACCACTCGTTGGGTCCCTGGGTCCTCCTGGTGCCACAAGCTGCAGTCCCTGGGGTCTGTGGGTACTGTCAGGCACTCTTAGCCAGGTGGAAGTTCTTTTTAACCTGAGTTTTTGTTGTGTGGGGTAACATTTCCAGTGGCAGGAGTGTCCGTGTGACTGCAAGCTGGGCTCTCTCCAAGGGCTTTGGAATAGTCTTGCAAACAGCTGATTTTTAATTTTTTTTCCTCCTTTTCTCCCTGATTTACTCCTGGAGTGCAGCAGCAGTAAGCTCTGTGTGTTTGCATGACATTGATCCAAATTGCAGTTTACATGTGGCCGTTTAAGCTTGCTTGGACACTATGATTTGACTGGTTAACACTCAGCACTGTCTACTCTGCTCTCCCTTCTGGCCACATAACTGCTGAAGACATTAATAGGAGACACACTCGCATGTTTGGGAGCGAGGTATCAGCTCTCCACATCGTTCTCTTGCTTAGCAGCACTTTGGAGTCAGGGGAAAAAAAATAGGAGCAAATGCAATGCTATTTTTTCCATAATTCAGTGAGCTGCTGAGGAGAACGAGCTATACAACTATAATTGTTGCAAATTATTAATTTCACTCAGTAGATCCCTTTAGCTTCTGTCTTTAATGCTTATGTTGGCAGTGCAGAAATGCAGCAGAGCAGTTTGTTGCTGAGGGCAAAGCCGTTTTGCACCACTCTCGTTGTACAAGTGATGCTCTGCACAGGTCGGGGGACTGGCAAAAGGACAGAAATACTTGTGCTGCTTGGTGCTTCCAGTGGATATGAAATTTTACTTTGTGATGGATATTTTTTTCTAGCCTTCTACAATTTAAAATTGAAAACAAAAGGAGGCCCTGATGGCTTAAGCCCTTTGAGGTTTCCCTAGTACATGAAGTGTCCCTTGTCCTCCCGGCACAGTCCCATGCACCCCGGGGTGGGCAGGTGTGGAACAGCACTGCAGTGCCACCACAAAGAAATCGCACCAATATAATCCAAATTTCCATGCATCTGTTTAGTTTTGAAATACATAGAATAGAATTCCTTCCCACAAGCAATGGCAGCTGGATTTGGAGGGAGAGGGGCTGGTTTTTGGAGATGCTCTGGCAGCAGTGACTCGTTCCCAGCAGCAGTTCTCCAGGCTGGTTTTGGGGTGCTGCCTGAGGCAGCTGCTCAAGCTGGGCTTGGGAGGATCTCGGTGCCAAGGACAGCGTGAGGGTTCTGCCACGGGCACCTACGGGGTCAGAATCGCTGATTGAAGCCTCCAGCTGCCGGAGCGGGGCTGAGAGGGGAGCACATCTTTGTGCTGAGAACAGAGTCTTTCCCTCTTCAAACAATCAGGGCTTCAAACCCCTGAGCGTTTTCAAGGGAGCGATTTTTATGTCGGGATTATGATAAACCGGCTGAGTGGGCGCGCTAAGCCGCCATAGGAATCAGATCAGGCCCTGCTTTAATTTCAGCAAGTGGCGGCTGTGTGGGAACGGAGGCTGCGGTGATGCTCGGAATTAACCGTGTGGGCCCCGGTGACCCAGGGGCTGCACGAGGGGCACCGCCAGCGTCCTGCTGTCCTTGTCCTTGTCCCTGTGCCGAGGGGCTCCGGCCTCCGAACCGCGGCACTTTGCAAGGTGCTCCGCAGCAGCCCGGGGTGATTTTGGGGTGGCCGCTGCTGATCTCGGTATGACAGGAGAGGGGATTTCTTCAATCGCCCATCCCGGCGTGCGAAGGCGGTGCTGGGCGCCCGGCAAACGGTGACAGAGGTGACAGTGCCCCGAGGGGGACAGAGCTGGATGGAAAACGATGAGCTCCGTGTTCGGCTGGGAGGAGGCGGGCAGGTGCCTCAGCTGCAGCCGGGCTGATGCGATGTGAAAGCGGAGCCGCGGCTCTCGCCGCTGGCAGCTTCGCTCTCCCCAAGCCCGCCCGGGAGGCTTTGCTGGCCCAGCCTTGTGTCACAGCGCTGCCGGCATCACGGCAAGGGGCTAAATCCAGTCCTGGGGCCGCATTCCGGCTTGTCCGGAGGGATTTTCAGGGACAGACACGGAAAGGGTCCCGCCGGCTCCTGTCACTGGACGAGCCGGGGAAGGGCACGGGCAGGAGCTGCTGCCGGCAAAGCTCTCATGGCCCCGGGGACTTCTGCAGGAAAAGAAATGCGGAATTTTGTTTTCGGGGTCCCGTGGCGGCTGAGAGGGATGCCCCGAATCCCGGGATTATGGCTGGGGGATGTCTGTATGTACAGAAGCCTGCAAGGCTGACGGGGAGCTCCTGGACCGACACTTCTGCCTGAATCTATCTCTGATTATCAGTGGATCACAGGCTCTTGCTCACTGTAGAACTCCAGGATTTATCCTGCTACAGCTGAGAGCAGACTCGGACCTGGCATCTGTAAATGTACAGCTAAAGCTGCGTAATCCTCACCCGGCATCGACAGCCGTGGCTTGAGCTTCGACTTTGACAGCCTGGACTAGGTGTAAAAATAATTGTAATTCCACTTTCGGCGGGTTTAATATTGCTGGAGCAGGGACAAAAGGAGTAGTGCCCAGGGTGCTGGTGCAGGAGGAGGGAGCATCCATGTTGGGTGCATCTGCTGCCTTTAGCTGCTCGGTCTCGTGTGATGCATTTTCACAGGCAAGTGGAGGACATGAGGTGGAGCTTGCTCTGGGATAGGGAGAAAATGCAGGTTCTCAGGAAGGAGGAAAAAAGTGCTGATTAATAAGTGTTGGGAATGAAAAAGACTGGATACTCATTGGTGGTGGACTGGCCTGGTTTCGAGCCCTGTGTGGCTCCAGGGGGCTGTTGGCTCATCTCATGGCCTTGCATTGTTTAGGTCAAGGCAGGTAAATCAAGTTTAGTTTGACCTTCAGCAAGTTCCTTCCTGCTGGAATTTCATCCTCTATTGAAAAAAAAAACCAAAAAAACCCCAAGAAACAAACAAGCAAATAAACAAATAACCCCACAAACAAACAAACAACCCCAAACTGAAACAAAAAACCCAAAACCAAACCAAACAAACAGAAAAACCAAAACCCAAACTCCAAAAGCATTTCTGGATCAGAGCTCTGGGAAGGGAAAGGGGGTCCCTCAGATCCTCTTCAACCTTTTCAAGGCACAGAATGCTCTTTGGAAAAGAGAAAGGGCTGTTCATAAGAAATCTGCTTTGTTTTATCTATCTCTCCCTCTCCATCTTTTAGTAAATTTCTGCTATTTTGGTTGAGTGAAATATTCAGTTTTTACAGGATTTCATAGGAGTGGATTGTTTTAGGGATTCCCAGGCAGGAGCGGGCAGGAATGCGTCTGAGCCAAATAACCTTTCTCTGGCATCAGCAGGCACCAGCTGCTTGGGAGGAAAGTGCTTGAAACCCTACAATTATGGGATAATGTATTCCAAGAGAGTTTCTTGGCTTTCCATTCCTGAGCTGGAGAGTTTATATTCCCTCCCTGATCCTTGTAAAATGTTGCTGAACTTGGATGTTCTTGTCACCTCGACGGTGCGGATGATCCCGCAGCAGCAATCGGCAGGGGCTTGGGTCTGGGCAGAAGGGAAAAAACCCAAATTTTCTGGCATTTGCTTTGAGTTTGCCTCTGTGACCCTGCTTGTGGCAGAGGAATCGTATCTTTGAAAAGATCTGGAGGGCCACCGGCTTCCACAGCCACATGTAGAGTCAATGGAAAGGAACGGGGAATTAACAATATAACTTGGATTGTTCAAGGGAATTAGGCACGTAATTCACTCAGGAACTTTGATTAATCCTGCAGGGCACTGTCAGTAGCCAGTGTTCCTGCTGGGGCCTGCCCAGAAGGGGCATCAATTGACCCCTTTGGCTGGGGGGAGGTTTGAGGGCTCGGGATGTTAAGCTGGACTGGAAAGGGACCACGGAGGACGGGTGGCCTTGGGCCACCGCCCCATCCCACGGTTCTGTAGACAAACTCCACTCTCTGAAGGTTTTTCTCTCTTCTTCCCCTTTGTTTTGCCTTCAGAAAACAAGTCCCAGTAACAAACACACACGAGTATTTTTCTTCTTCTTTTTCATGAGAAAAGGTCTTTTCAACATTAAACCCACCCATGTGCAGGAGCATCAGCAGGGCTGGCTGGGTTTCTGGAGGCTGAGTTTTCCCACGGAGCTGTGCATGCTCTTTGCTCTAGAAAATCAGTGATTTTTGGAGATGAGGGAGCGGGAGGAAGCCCAGCCCCTGTGCCCAGCTCGGCTGAGGCTCTGACAGCATCGGGACAAGCTGGCAGAAATGCCGGAGTGAAAGCAAGCTGCCTCCCTCCTCTGGTGCGAGGGATGGCCACGGAGCAGGTTGCCATGGAGAACCGGGATTATTCTGCGCGTGTGTGTGTACAGGCTGGGGGGAATCTCGTCATTTTTTTAAAAACCATTTTTGATGGAGTGTGATGCCGTCAGCGGCCGCGCTCGCCCGACCTTGGGAGCTGCAACCTCCAACCCCAGCCCCATCCCCTCCTCCCCTCCTCCTGCAGCCACAGCTCCTGCCCCAGCCCCTCCATCGGACTCTTATCTCCAATAATCCCCCCGTAAGAGGGCTTTCTGCTTGTTATGACACCCAGTGAAAGCGTGGGAGAAAGATCCTTTCTTCGCCCTTGTCCTCCACAGCCAGCCACTAGCCTGAATGGGAGGCTTTTTTGTGTCTCTGTGTGCCTGACTAATTGAGCTGAAGGACTTGCGTCTGGAAGGGCTTGAAAGGGACTTTTGTTGCCACTGCGGAGTTTGTGGAAGGCGAATGAGCCCTGCTTTCTTAGGGAACGCGGGTCCTGGGCAAATTTGACTCTCGAGTGCTCACGCCTCCCAGTTCTTTGGGAAAATTAGAAAAAAAAAAAAAGGGTGGTGGGATTGAATTTTTTGTGTTGTGTGTGGAGTTTTTTGGGGGGGATTTTTCTTGGGTTTTTTTTTTGAGCACTATTGGCAGCTCCAGGCGCTGGAGAATTGAGTCTGGCAAAAAAAAAATAATTCTGGCCCTGGAAGGTTGGTGAGCTGGCTGTAAAAAAAGGACTTGGTGAGATGAGCTAAAACTGGCTAAAAATAACAGTATCAGAAGCCCTCCAAAAATAACAGTATCAAGAGCCCTTGCCTCCAAAAATAACAGTATCGAGAGCCTGTGCCTCCTGCATTTTTTAAGGCCTGATAATCAAAGCCCAAATCTTCTCTATCATTCCATGGGAAATTGTTTTGTGGTCGAAGGATGCTTTCACATCCCATTGCATCCTGAGAGGTGATGAGCACCAGTTATCACAAGACAGTTTAAGTGGCTGCTGCAAAATTCCTCTTTTCCTCTTGGCCTTAACCAGAGTCATGAAAAGTTGGGATTCTCCCTAAAAGTGATTTAGTAGTTGCTTGGAGTCAGGTGATGGCCAGGTGACTCCTGGCAGCAGGAAGGAATCCTTCTTGTACCTGTAACAGCCCCAACCCCACATCTTCCTTCAAACACCTGACATCCTGCTTGGCAGGAAAAAACAAGATATTTTGCCATAGCAGTTTGGGACTTTGAAAGGCTCTTTTCCATTGGAAAGTTAGGTTTGGGCTGTCATCCCTGTTGGTACCTTCTGCTGCATTTTTGTTCCCATTACAAGAACCTGGTGTTTCCATGTGTCCAGGATAATTTCTTGCTGCCTTTGCTGATTTTTCATTATCTGACACTGTATTCATTCAAAGACCTCCTCCAGCCCATCTTTTTCCCATGACATGGCCATGCAAAGCCTACTGCTGAGTGTCTCTCCTGGAAAACACCCTCTGGCAAGGAAGGAACGTGGGCTTTGGGATGAAAACAGGGTTTTTGATGCAGAAAGCTTCTTGGCATCTGGCAAAGATTGGGCAGAGGCTTTTTAAGTGGCTGGTGGGAGAAATGGGAAAGAAAGTGGTTGTGTGGGGTCACTTTGTTCCTGTTGCTTATTTCCCATGGGATGTGCAGCCACAGCACCTTGTTGAGAAGCTGAAATTATTGCCCATAATATATTTCCAATAAATGTATTTCCATGACAATTTCTCAAACCTTCTCCCCTTCTACCCCCTCTCCCCCCTTTTTCCTTCATTCCAGAGATCTTGCAGGTCCCTCCACACAAGAAATTCCTGTGGAAGCTGCCAGGGTCCATTCCCTCCCCTGTGTGGATAAACCCTCACAGGGTGTGTTATTGGTTTCTAACGACAAGGGATTAAAACTGGAAGTTTTAATCAGTAAAATGCTGTAAGTTACATTTTTAATGGGGTGATGTAGAGGCTGCAAATGCCCACAGCTCCTCTTTCCCCACCCTGTGCCCACAGATTGCAGTTGGGTGTCTTCAGGAGTTTTCCAGGGCCAAAGAGGTGCATCAAGGATGGGGGAAAACCAGAACAAATGGATTTGGAACAGATGTAGATGTGAGCGGTGAGACTTGGTAGAGAGGTGAGGTGATAGCAAAGAGAGGTGATTGAACATGAGGCCTGCTAAATAAAAAAAAATAACTATCAACAATTTGAAAATCACTTTTGGAGCTGGAGCCAAACCCCTTTTTCACATGACTCCCCTTGGAGTTTTTAAATCCAGCAATTTCTGCACTGCTCTTTGTCAATGTTGTGCTAAAGCCAGCCTTGCTTTTGTGTCCTGCAGCCCGAGGCCCGTGCTGCCGCAGCTCTGGGGATGCCCTCGACACCAGGTATTTGTTAATGCAGCCTGACTCGTTACTGTGTTACTGAAATGACAATTCCTGGGTGTTTGGGTGCTGGTGAGGCAGCACCTGAGGGGTTTGTCCTGTCAGCCCTGTGCCAGGATAATGCAGTTGTGTGTTGGTCATTAGTGATGAGTGACCATGCCTGGGCATGGCTGTACCCACCTGCATCCTCCAGCCCTTCTCCTGCACAGGACTTGGCTTTTTTCTTATTATTTTTATTTTTTTTAAAATGTGTGTGTTTGTTTTTCTTTGTTTTTTTAATATATACTTTCCAATAACTAATTAAATAAACATAAAAATCACACAATTCCAGTTTTGGAATGATGTGTGAACTTGGAAATAGGGGCTTGGAGTCAAAACAAGATGAGGGGAGCATAGCAAGGCTCCTGCCTCTATGGGCTAGAGGCCAGAAGACATAAAGAGACCTAAATTTCTGGTGCCTTTTCTTTTTTTTCCCCCCCTTAATATTATTCATTATTTATTTATTTTTCTTCTTTTTTTATTTTTCAGTAGGGAAAGGGGATTGCCAAAGTGCACCTCTCAGGTACATTTTACCTTCTGCAGGGGTCTTATTATGCTGGAACCAGCTTAATGAAATAAAAGGGCTTTTTTTTATATATATATAACTGACCAGTAGTTCTGGACTCATGCATTTCAGAGCACAGCAAACTGACTCTAAACCAATAATTTTTATGGCATCCCAAACCAAACCCCTAAAATTTGGGAAATTCTTGTCCTTGCACAGATTGTTGCTGCTGCACTTAACACCTTACAGCTCGAATAACATGAGATTTTGAGAAAATTGGGAGAAAGATCAAATGTAAAAGGAGGTATAGGAAGTAACAGAAAATTCAGGAGGTTTTGGAACAAATAAGGAATAATTCTTGGGCAAAACACAGCAATAATCCTAAAGTGCTTTATTATTGTGAATCAATACAATCTTGCTATAAAATATTTAAAATTCTGCCACCCATCTATTTCTCTACAGCCCACTGTAATATTCATAATTCCTGCAATCCCAACATTCAGTGAGCACGAGGTCACTACCTGGAATTTCCTTGTTTCAGCACTGGGACCTTCCCATCTTTGGGGCTGGGATTGGGAATTGGGATTTTTACAAAGGTTTGGAGGAGCAGGGCAGTGATCCCACACTGATGCCACGCACGCTTCCAATGCGCTCTGAGCATTCCAGGATGCTGGACAGGTCACAGGGATGTGCATTGTGGCCCCAGTGCCGCCACCTCCACCCTCTGCTCCTCCCTTCGGAGGACCACGGGCTCACCCAGCTCGGGGGGAAATTGTAATTTGATTTTTTCCTCAATGAAAACACTGGTGGGGAGCGGGGAGGGGGAGAAGGAGAATGAAATCTTGGTGCGTTTTGTGACTTTGCTCAGCAGATGAAGAACCAGGGGCTCCAAGGCCAGCCCAGTGAGCGGGTTCGATGTGAGCAGCCAAAGCCTTGTGGCTGCCAGGACCCTTCGCTGCTGCACCACCCGAGGGTTTCACCTTCTGCCAACAGCGGCCTGCTCCTCTTCTTTCCCTTCCCTTGCTTTTCTTTTCTATCTTTTCCTTTATTTTCTTACCTAATAGTTATTGAATTTTATTTTCTGATTTATTTTTTAATTTTCCCTTTTCTTTGTATAACTTTCCTTTTTAATATTTCGTTTTCCTTTCATTTTATTTTTCCTTTCGTTGTTGTTGTTGTTTTTCTATTTTTTTCCCCTTTGTTTTCTTTTCCCATTTTTTCCCCCCCAATTCCGTGCTTAAGCCTGCTTTGTCTTGTCTCCTGCCGGAACGTTTAACGAAGGGGCAGCCGCTCCCACCCCAGTAGGATTTTTCTTGTTGTTGTTGGTATTTTCCCGATGCTTTGTTCCACCTTCCCCACCCCGGTGCCCATGGAGGGGTGCGGGTCGGGGTGCCCACGATGGATGGGGAAGCACAAAGCCCCAAGGAAGACACGAGGGCTCTTGTTATCCGGGCCGTGCAGGAAAGAGTTAACCCATTAGAAATTCCGAGCCCTTCTTCCGATAGTTAAACCTGATTTGCATGCATTTGCATAATGAATGTCATTTGCATTCTTGGAGGTTGGCTACTTCTGTGGGAAAAGTCAAAGCGGGATTGCGGGGAGGGTGAAGGGGGGTCGGTGAAGAAAGAAGGGAAGATTTTTTTTTCCCCGCACCCCCACGAATCCCTGCCCCTCGCCATCCTCACCCAAACGCTCTTTTTCATCCCCTTCTTTCCCCCCATTTTTCCCCCCTCGAGGCCTTCCTGCCTCTCCCATCCTCAGGACGCACAAAGCCAACCATCGCTAGGCCGAGGCGAGGCGCATCCTCTCCCTCTTCCCCCCCTTCCCCTCCTTTAATTTCTGCCTCTAATTCCGTCTTGGCTCCCATTCCCTGCGCCCTCACGCGCCGGGGGCTGCGGCCCTGTCCCTCCCCTCCCCGTGGGTGCATGCGTGCTGAGGGGGAAGGCAAGGTGGGAGCCACCATTTTAGGCAGCTGCTGTGTAAAATGGCCGATTCCCCTTCCTCGGGCCCAGCCAGGCGGGTGGGAGTGTTCTGGCACCTTCCATGGGCCGGGCCGGGCCCCGCTCGCCGCGCTCCGCGTGCCGCGGCCTCACCACGGGGCCTCGGCCTGAG